CCCATTCACCCTATGGACTAGCAACTTTGACGTCAATCCTCTTAATAACGAGGTGCTTGTGCAACGTAAGCTACACACAATAACCTACACATCGAACACTATTTAAGTCACATTTAACAACACTGCACAGTTTATTGCCTCATTCCATTTTGCTGCTATGACAATGCATGTTTGTCTGGTTGTTCCTATGTGTGGGCCTCAGACAGTGAAGGCTTTCCTCCCCCAAATGAAGGCCCAGAATCACGGACACATCGTGACCATTGCCAGCGTCCTCGGTCTCTTCAGCACAGCTTGTGTGGAGGTGAGCCAATGCAGGAGAAATACCGCTACAATAAGTCTATATGAGAAGATAACTAATAAGAATATGACAGCTTTATTATTGTGTTTTACACCGTTCTCTCACAAAGTCCCAAAATCAAGTAACACATTAAAATGCATATAACGGCACTGGCAGTCAAAGCAGGGCTGGCAAATCAAAAATAATGAATATTCAGCATCTTTAAAAGCAGCGTGAATAAGCTCTGATGGATAGATTTTCTTTGTGGTAGGATTACTGTGCCAGCAAGTTTGCTGCAGTGGGCTTCCATGAGTCTCTGGCCCACGAGCTGCTGTCTGAGGAGGTAGAAGGAGTGAAGACTACCCTTGTGTGTCCCTACATCGTGGACACGGGCATGTTTGAAGGCTGCAAGATAAGGTATGCCAACATAATAATCATATACAGTTAAGGTCCAAAAACTATGGTGAGCGAAACAATTTTCATAAATTTGGCTCTCTTTCATGAAACAATGACGATGTGACAAGAGTGCAGACTCAACCTTAAATCAAGGCATTTAACTAAAAACATTGCATTAACTGTTGAGGAATTACTGCCATTTTTATCCAGAGTCCCTTATTTTCTGTTAATTGGAAAGATCACTGAAGACCTCTTTGGCTATTTTTCTGTAATTATTTATTTCTTTTCCTTTTTTCCCATTAATTAGATGGTAAAAGGTCTAGCGTTGACTCTCGAGGTAGTATTTTGAATCTAGAAGCTATATATGTGAACAAGTAAAAGAGAAATAAAAACAAAACAAAAAATCCATCACAGGCCAACTCAACAGTTTGGTACACTCAGGAACATTAAAATAAGATGAAACACACACAGGTTTATCTCTATCCATCTATGTAGAAGACTACAACAAAGAGAAAATATAGAGTTCCCTAGAAAGTATGAACAATTCATCACCCTCAGCAAGAGCTAAATTTTGATCTAATTATTAGTTACTGTTAATCGCTGGCTCTCTTCCAAAGCATGTCTGTGTACTGTCTTCATCCACTCACCCCCAACCGGCCGCAGCACTCGCTGATCCTGGTTCTGCTGGAGGTTTCTTCCTGTTAAAAGGGAGTTTTTCCTTCCCATTGTTGCCAAAGCGCTTGCTCATAGGAGACCATATGATTGTTGGGGTTTTCCCTGTTTTCTTTGTATTACTGTAAGGTCTTTACATTATAATATAAAAATAAAGGGTGTTGTGATTTGGTGCTATATAAATAAAACGGAACTCATTTGAACTGAAAATTGAATTGAACTGAGAATTTAATTGGTTATTAAAAATTAAAGGTCTGTATTTCAGTTGTAGCTTGCCATGTAAAAAATTATGAAAACGGTGTCACTGACAGTCCTAACATGTTTACTCCTAACTCTAAATTTCTTTTGAGTGTCATAGTTTAGACACAAACAAGGAGAGTTTAGTCTGTAGACCTGAATATACCTCACTCACATACACATACAGACTGAACATTCTTTGAGGGTCCATCATAGAAGGCTAAATCCAATTTTGCTCTTAACAGGACAAAAAAATGTCCTCAAATACTCAATGACACAACCTATGTATGAGTCTATTGCTAATGTTTCATGTTGCTTGATATTTTAAATGTTCCTTGATGTTAGGGAGGAAGTGGAACTGCTCCTGCCCCCTCTGGAGCCCCAGTATTGTGTTGAGCAGGCTATGAACGCCATCCTGGTAAACCAGCCATTAGTGTGTATCCCTCGCCTCACCTACCTGCCTGTTCTTTTCAGGGTGTGAGTCTCACAACCTTCACATTTTCCAGATACTAAATAAAGATGAATGCTTTTCGAAAATGTCCTTTTCTATCCATTTTCAACAGCTGATTACAGTATTTAAGCTTCTACTGTCTTTGTTCTTTTTCAGGTTGTTGCCATGGGAATCTAACGTGACTGCTTATCGCTTCATGGGTTCTGACAAGTGCATGTACCCCTTTATTGAAACCACGAAAAAACAAGTGACAAATGGCTCTGTTGCAGTCGCCTAGTTTTTACACAAAGAAACAACTTTAGGAGTACAAATGTTAACAATATCTTCAAATGTATTTCAAAGGGTCCACAATACATCAGACAGGACAAAAAACAAAAAAAGAAAGAAACAAATGTGGGTTTTGTGAACAACAGGCCAAATTGTCCATCTGCAGCCATGAGTCAGTCAAATGGAAATAATAAAACAGACTTTACATTTTCAGGCTGATCATTTGGAAGTCTGTACTGGATGACAACTCAGCCAAGTAGTCATCAGCCTCCAAGAAGATTTCAATAATGCTCATATGAAATGTAAAGTGCCCTTGAAATGTTTTCACCATAGATCTGTGAAATGCCCAAACAGTGATTAAATCCTACACTGATCCAAATGGGAAAGCTTCTTTAATAGCTGTTATGCAATCCTCTATACTCTGTTATATTCACATATAATAAAATGACCTAAAACAACACCTACAAATGCTGTTAGAACACAGCAAACGACGCGTCTGGTGCATTGTTTTCCTGTAAAGATCATAAACTGTAAGCAAGCAAAAGTAAGTAACACTGCAAAAGGGGAATTTTATTAATCTTTCTCTATGTAGACCAAGAATAATAACTTTAATAATAATGTGTCTAGTATTTATGACGTATGACTTACATATAAAAATATGTAAGAACTGTCCCTTCTAGAAAAAAGATGCTTAGCTCCACTGACTGAATGCTAATATGGACTTTTGAGTGGAAAATTCTGGACAAACTGCACTTGCAGATCATGCATGTATGAGTGCACGTGTAGTTTACGTAGCAGAAGAAGGCTAAAAAGTATTGCTAATCTCACAAGACAGAAGTGATGCTGCGCAGCACAGTCACTGGACAAACGTTCTCTAATTTTATGCAAGTGAACGAGTATGACTAACGATGAAACATTTCCTGCAGCACAATGTGGTGTTGTAAATGTCTCCGGTCATAATTGCCAGAATGAGCTCTTGTTTGTGCACTCAAGGAAGAACAACTGAAAAGTTTTGGATGAGAAGATTCAGATCATGCACATTTGTTTTTATGAAGCAAATATTTGGTTATAACTCAACAAACGATTAATAGGACTGTTAAAGTAAATACTGTAAAACTAACCCTGAATTCAATTAGCAGAATCAATATTTATTCAGATATAGATTTACTGTAATGATACCTTCAACCACTGAATGGGACAATAAAGTATTTTCTATAAAAATGTTAGCAAGCTACCTTGAAAATGGTTATGAAAGAGGGGGTGAAACTTTAATTACAGAATAGGTTTTCAAAACCACTACCTGAGTGACATGCTGTTAGTACTGTGTTGGTACCCTGTTTATGTCTTAAGAACCACCCTCATTTTTTATGGCACAAATTAAATTCAACAAGGTGCTGGAAACATTCCTCATAGATTTTGGTCCATATTGGCATGTTAGCGTCACACAGTTGGTGCAGATTTGTCAGCTGCACGTCCATGATGCCAATCTCCAGATTCACCAAATCCCAAAGGTTAAACAATGCTCAAGGGCCCAAAGTGTGCCAAGAGGAATTCCCCACAGCTTTACAACAGCAACATACTGAACTGTTAACCCATGACAGGGTTGATCTACGCGTTCATGTCGTTTACTTCAAATTCTCACCCCACCATGTGAATACTGCAGCAGAAATCAAGGCTCATCAGACCTGGCAATGTTTTTCCAATTTTCTATTATCCAATATTTGTGAGCCCATGTTTATTGTAACCTCAGTTTCCCGTTCATAGTGTCTTAGTCTTCTGTTGCTGTAGTCCATCTGCTTCAGTGCTCCATGTGCTGTGTATTCAGAGGTGTCTTTGACGCATGCAGAGCGATCCAACGTTTTCAATGGAGCAAATGTTTCATCAGTCATCCAAGTGACTTCTTCAGTCTCAGCAGAGTACAGGTTGCCGAGAACTTATTTGCACAAGCTTAGTTTCTTGATTTGCATATTAATAATCATGAAACTAAGCCCATGGCTCATTGTTATGCAATGGTGCTAGTTTTGGTCATTATGCAAATGCACTGTTTATAAGGTTTGGGAAACCTGCAGTCAGCTGGGACTCAAGATGTCATTTGGATGAGTGATTAAACGCTCCTCTGACTGAAAACACTCTGTTGTCATGAACAGAATCAACTTTCAGGCAATATGTTCAGACGTGATCATCTGCATGTGGTTATTTGAGTTACTTCCGCTGGCCTATCAGCTCCGAGAAGTCTGGCCATTCTCAACTGACCTCTGGTATCAAAAAGGCTTTTTCACCCAGAAAACTGCCCCTTACTGGATATTTTCTCTTTTTCAGTAAACAACTTGCTACGAAATAGTTATTTGCCGCAGATGCTGTTGACAGTATCATAAACAGTTGAATATTGAGTTTATGTTCTACCTAAATAATCTGTCCAATCAGGGCATATTAGACAATATATACCCCCTTGATACTAGTTTATGAAATGTTCACTCCGTGTGTGCTTGCTGCAGGGGCTTTATTTACATTTTTTTAAACATCAAAAAAATGAATCACCAAAATATGCAATCTGCCCAGAGATTCACAAGAATTAGCATATGTGAAGGAGATTAAAGAGTTAGTATATTTGTAACAACTCTTAAATTGGCCAACATCAGTGCAAAATCATAACCGAGCACACCTCTATACATTACAAAGAAAGAGACAAAATGGCAAATCTTAGTTTTGTGCATGTAAGCACATTTAATTACCATGGGGAGCAGAAAGAGTAGGGAGAGTTTGACATAAGGGAGGAAAAGGGATTTTCAAGGAAACTGGTGCAACAGGGAAACATCCCTGCCACACACAGATTCGACAAGATCACATTACAACACGCTACATTTAGTCACAGATTCTTCCCAGCCCTACATGGTAATGTTGATAACACTTCACTTGTGGTTGTTGATATAAAGCACTCTAGGAAAATCAGAGGTTCGCCAGCTGCACCCTAGACAAAGATCTAAACCATATTGAGAATATTCTTTAATGAACTACCTCTGCAGGGGACAAAACGTAAAACACTTAAAAACAAGAGTTAGCAGTTCTCACAAAGAGTAAACAAGTTCTATGCAAAATAAAGACTTCACAGTAAATCACTTCTTCCTTTTTCTCCTCCCCTTATCAAGCACCCCTCCTCCCAATTGATTGGCTAGGATGCAGCTACTTTTTTTTTTCTACAAAGCAACAGAAAAAAAATAATGTGTACAATTAAACAACATCAAGGAGGATAGTCTATTTTTCCTATTAATCTTGTTTAACTGTGAACATTTTGTAACGGTGAATATGAACAGTGATGGTTTAGAGTCTACAGAGTCCAAAGTTTCCTGTAGCCTTCTAAATCTGACTAAGAACACAGTGTCTGAGTTTTCTCTAGTGCTTTTACAACCAAACCTCATAATCTAAACAGTGCCATCCAGGGTCTGTGCCAATGTGCTTGAGTTAGCCTGTTTGATGTGCAAGTCCCCTTCAATTTCTTGTTTGCCACACCTGCGGAAAATAAAAAATTATTAACTTAGCTGAGCTCTCACATAACACTCTTTTTTTGTCTCCATACACAAGTGTTTAATGAAGTGGAATATACTTCATTTTTAAAAATAACATGGAAGAATTTACACGTGACAATTCTGTTGTGTTTACCAAGCCTCGCATCATTTAACATCTAACAAGATGAGGCGTTTACTTCTTCCTACACCCCTTATAAGCTCAGTAAGACAATAAAAGACAGAAACCTCTTTGTGACTTGCATTTGCTGCACAACTAGCAGTTGCGGTGATCACTTTCGATGAGAGGGTATCGGCACAGGTTGCCTGATGGGAGGCAACCTGTCTCCAAAAATTTGTGGTGTGATTTTGACTGTGGTCACTCTCAGAGAGATTTATTATTTGGTATTTGTCACCAAAGCCTAACTGAAAAACATAGAAAGATTGCTAACGTGTTGCAATCAGAGTCAGTCTGCACCAACTGGACTTAACTACTTGCCAGTTGGTGTATTCTGGTTATACTCCGATCTAAAAGCAAAGTTGCTGAGCGTCTATGTAAGTTTGCATTTAAATCCCCATCCAAGTAATTTCTGCATTTCTATTTCAAATTTATAAGGTTCGGGCTGAATATAGACAGTTAATGTCATTTTCTATGCATGTATAAAGGGATAGAGTTGCAAAATTTTTCAATTTTCCCCAATTTATCACAGTTAATATTGTATTATCACAGACAGATTGCATGTAATTCCCAGCTTGACCCTGTTCAACTGAAAACTGATCGCAGACTGACTCCATACTCACACACCAAAATTGCTTTGAAGACAGCAGCTGACTAACAAGTGGCTCAAACCTGGTCCTGGGCTTCAAACCAACCATTTCCAAGGTAACAAGGTCACAAGTTCATCACACATTATCTTTGGTTGCATCTCAGTCTCCAACCACTGTTTAGTGTCACTATTAGCATAAAAAAAGCATCAGACGTCCAGATCTTCTTCTTCTTCCTTTTTTTTCTTTGAACCATCCCACACACTCTTCCTCCTTGAACAATCTAAATACACAAACCCCAAGGATGTATTCTCGTGCCATCTCAAACTTCAACCTCACATCATCTACAATGCAACTCAACTTAATCAGAGAATCAGGTGTGTTATATTGTTAGTCCAATATGTAGATATGGGCATAGTTCCCTTCTCTATAACACTACACCGCCAAAACCTCTTTTCACTCTCATTTTTACTTTTCAGATCTAACAGACATTTATGCAAACTGACATCACTGTATGTGATTCATCAGATTTTGGACAGCTGCATTTGTCTGAAGGTTTTAATAACTCTTTCCTGACTGGAAAGAGTTAAAGAGCTTCAAAGCTCCAAATCTTTGTCTTTATTGCAAGCAAACAAGAGAAAATTAGGTTTTTAAAGACGTAACGGCAACGAAAATGCAAATGCTTTACAAGTTGAAAGGCAGTGTTTCTCATAGCTTACCCAGAAACTGGTCCATTTCCTGTCCTTTCGTTTGACTGCTGGTCCAACTCTGAGAGCAACTTCAATATGTTCAGTGCAGCCTAAAAAAATAAGCAACAGTATGCGTTATCTGAGCTGCAACCTGAAAAGTATGAGTCTTGGAAGTCTTACTGTCTTGGAAGAAGCAACAAAAAGGAATGGGAGTGCATGAAACAGCTGGCTTATACAGCCCCTATTTTGGAAACGGCTGGCCTAAAGCCTTTGTAATGTGTCATCATGACATTATGACATGACATTAACAGCAATCGTGTGCCTTTTGGTCACACTTGCACGACTCCACATGAGATTTATTCCAAATTCTCTTCACGGAAAGTTGCTGGGATAAAGTTAGGAATTATTAAACGTGTTTTTCTGTTAGTAGCAAGGGCTCGGGACTTTCACACTGAGAAAGAAACCCGTATTACCTTTGAAAGCTTCCTCTTCCACTCTCACGAAATAAATATTTAACAACTGATTATTATACATCAACAACTGACTATACCCCCCATCACTGAAAATGTATTTCCCTCATCACTATTGTGGCTCACTCACAGAGGGTGTCAATGAGTGTTAAATCTGTAGTTTCTGAAATAAATACTCACCATATCATGACAGGATTCTACATCTTTCCCAATCCCATGACTGATGAGCGGTGGCTGGGAGGAGCAGTTAATCAGTGACACAAACTCATTCTTATTGTTTTTGGGAAAATCCTTGTATTCCACCTGCAAGCAGATGATATATTTTAAATTATTTATACTCATTTGTACCATAAAAAACAATTTATACAATTCAAACTGAATAATTAAGCTCATGAAAGTCAAACCCGTTGTTTACCTGTAGGCCCTGCACAGATGCCAGATAGCCGAGCTGTTCCGAGGGCCTGGTTAGGGGGCCGTGGGGCAGTTGATTCGTGTTATTTTTAGTCTTCAGGATAGTCTCTGCAGTCAGTGATGTCCCAGCGTAAAGCAGCTCGTTGGCAATCATGGCAGTGATCGTGGTCTTGCCTGGGTTGGGTATACTTCGACTGTAGTCCTTGGCCTGGGATCCTTGGCAGGCCCCAACTGCTTGTGCCACCTCAGGCATCATGGGCAGGATCCCTGCAGGCAGCTGCTGGTGGCTCAGGTAAGGCAGGCGGAAGTCCTCCTCCTTGGAACCTTTTGAACAAAAGGCTCCAAGGTTAATGATTTTCTTCATGATTGTTAATAGTTTTTTATTTTCCCATCAAGTCTTACCCAGTGTCCCCTCCTCTACAGAACCAGGTTCGTAGAAGGTCACTTTGCGCCCATCACCTGGCTTTTTTACTGGGGTCTAAATATAACAACAATTTTACTATATAAATATAATATAAACATTGGCCACCTAACTTATTTATGAGACTTTCCTGAGAAGGTCTAAGCAGTACCTTTTCATCAGTTTTGAGTGCCGGTTTTGGGGGTTGAGGCTGAGGCACTTTATACCCCAAGAGCTCCAGCATTTTCTCTGCTGCGTTCCTCTTGGCCACCTTCTTGCTGGGTCCCATTCCCTCTGCAGACTGCCCACACACAGTAACCTGGACCAGAATAAACAGATGGAAGAGATGAACGAAATGAGAAATTAACAAGCGGAGACAGAGGAAAGCAGAGACAGATGTTACATAAGTGCTGCTGCCAGCATGCCTCGGCTGCAGCTGACTCACCTGCATGACAAACTCCCTGCGCCGTGGCAGCCCTCTCTCTGTCACCATGCTATACTCCGGCTCCTTCTCCTTCTTGGCCTGCTGGATCTGAGCCAAGCGGCTGATGGGATTCATTCCCTGTCCATATTCTGGACTGGTCTGCAGCTGTTGGCACGACAGGTTAATGATTGCTTAAGGAAGCCGTTAGGTGTGTAATCACTATCCCAACTCTAGTATAAAACTTGCACTACCTTGATGATAGATTTGGTTTTCTTTTTGATGCGGGGCTGCGTCTTTTCTACACTGGGTATATGGGGTAGTCTCTTCAACTCTCCCAGCACCGCTGCTGCTGCTAGCTTCTTTGCAATCTTTTTACTTTTTCCCTCGCCCTCTCCTGTGAACTCGCCAACTGTAACACGCACTACAAAAGTCTTCATGTGTGGAGGGCCCTCTTCTTTTAAAACCTGGAAAGCAACAGTGGAAACACCTAATGTAGGGGAGCATTTATTCTATTAAACTCAATAGATTATGGGCAGAAGGAACATGCAGTGGTGTACAAATTGGTGAATGACATAAATCCCCCCTAAATGATAAATAAAATCCATTTAAACCTCAAAGCTGACAGGTAAGTTGCGTTTAAGTGCAATTTCAAAGACTTGACTGATTTCTGATTTGTTCAGGTTCTCCTCCTCTGGCTCTCCATTCACCTGTCAAAAAAGAGGACATGTTTTAAAAAAAACAAACAACAACGACAAAAAAAACCCAGAAGCAATAAATATCACAGATGCCGAGTGTGGGCTTCTTTCCTCACCACTGGCAACTGTTGCAGTATTGGCTCCTTCTGCAGTACTTTCAAGGCCTTGGCAGCAGCATCGTGTTTGGCTAACTGCCGCGTTCGTCCTTTCCCAAAAAACTGCTGGCCTCCAATAGAAAGCTCCACATGATATAACATTGGTCCCACAGGAGGAAATGGGTAGTAGTACCTGGATGACAATTGAAGTTAAATACAACCCATTTTCCCCCATTTCCTCAAAAAAAGAGAGACAATAAGATTTCTGCTCAGATTTCTAAATGATGCAAACTCACTGTTGCATAGAGCGCTGGTAAGGCCCTGGAGCCCGCACATTGTAGTTGAAGTTTGGTGGTCTCATCCCCGTATATGCGTCGATGGGTTTATAGAGAGGCTTTTTACCAAGTTTGATGCATAGTGCACTCAGCTCTGTAATATGCGTCATGCCATCTGCTTTGAGATAAACAAAAAAACAAAAATGAATTCACTGCTTCTATTCTACAAGGTGTTAGCAACAATTAGAAAAGAGAATACAATAAAACCAGTGGGAAGAGCGTACCTTGGTGCTTTCCTGTGCTGCGGGGTGTCCTCACAGTGGGTTTAGGGAGTGTAGTCTCAGCGAGGGCTGATGCAGCAGCGGAATGCTGAGCTTTCTTGATACTGGTCCCCTCTGCCTCCCAATGCTGATCTCCCAGCGTGAGCCTCACTGAGAAAATCTAAAATTGATTCTCTATCATTAGCATAAAGTTGCAGCAGAACAGGACAACAGTACTAATAAAATGATGTGAGCAACTCGTACCTTTGAGTGAGCTGGCCCTTGCTCACAAAGCAGCTTATATTCAGGTTGAATCTTGTTAAAACGGGCTAACTCATTCACCAAACACATAGGGGTCTTCTCTTTAGGGTTTGCCATGTTAGATACTGTTTATGGAAAAGAAAGATCCAAAATTTTCTTTATAACTATCTACAGGAACCATCATAAAGTCTCACAATCTAATACACATACTATCTGGCAAAAGCATTCAAGGTTCTAACAAATTTTTGAACAAAATATTGCAATAAAAAGGGTATGAGATGCATAATGTGATCATAAAAACTAAACAATAAATCCCAAACTAATTTTTTTAAATGCCATCACCGATAAGTAAGCTTTTTGACCAAACAAAATCAGAAAACCTACCTGTGGTGCTATTGTAGGGAGTGGCTGACCCTGCGGGGAGAGCGGAGCTCCTGATGGGCTGGCTGGCGCTCTCTGACGGTAGGGTGCCTGAGGCACAAGGGATGCTGTAGCTAGGCTGTGGCTGCAGGGGGGCAGAAGCAGCGGGCATGGGGCTAGCTGGACACTGAAACTGGAGCTGAGACATCCTCGCTGCTATAGCTAAGTTAACAGTAAGATGAGGTCAAGAATATAAATTTACAGTGGGGCAGGACTGCTGATTGAGGTGATCTGAATGTAGGGTCTACCTGGAAAAAGAGGACATAAGTTTTCAAATAATAAATAACTAGAATATAAGAAAATCTTCATTTTGAAAAAATAAAGCAGCATCAAAACCTTCACAAGAGCAGAAATCCTAGAAGTCAAAGATAAAAGGTGTCAATTGCAGGACTGTTAAACAAAGACTTAAACACCTGAACAATTTACTTACAAGTGCAACAAAAATAGACAAGGGGAACCAAGAGTAGCACCGTCCAGCAGTCAATAAATGTTCTTTCTAGCACATTCAATCAGTTAGGAATGCAATGAAGAAAGCCTGGCTTATGTACAATACAATTTTTCTTTTTTTTCAAGATGTAGAAGGATGTGTTTTCTATTGATTCAAACTAATGTTTCAATACAGTTCACAGATGTCACATGTAATGGTAGTGCATTCCATAGTTTGAAGCTGCAACTTTGAAAGCACAGTCTCCATTAGTTTTCAGTCTGGCAATATGTGTCGAGCAGAAAGACTTGAATTATCTGCACGTTATATAAGGACGAAAGAGTTCACGAATGTAAGCAGGCATTTGATAATGCACATCTCTAAAAGTTATCGCCAAGATTAAAAAAGCAGGATCGCACAAGACTATTACTACTTTCCCCATAAAGACATCATTTAAAAACTTTCCCTGTACCATTAATGGCAAGTTTTGAATCTCTGTATATATCAATAAAGATGTGATCTTGGGGCCTTAAGAATAGTTTCGGTAGCTGCCCAGGTAGAGACCACCCTCACCGACTTCTGCCACACACGCACACACACAGTCATTTTGTTCCATAAGCAACTGCTCAGTTCAGAAGAGCTTCAATGGTTACTTCTAGCAGGCTTTCAAGGGGTAAAGACTTAATGTGTTTATCAAAACTAAGAAATTGGTCCAATATAACGCCTACATTTCTGACATTTGATTGAGCTGCCACTAGCACAAACAACAACTTATGTTGTTCCAGTAATAACTAAAATGTAATCAACAGCCATGCAGTGCTTTATGGCATCATTAAAGTCATGAAGGATAGATATTTTTGGAACATTGTGAGGCGAAGAAAAGGAAATGTACAATCGGGTATCATCTGCATAATGATATGAAACCCATTTAAGGTGGTTTAAGGGTGTAAATACATTTTATTGTAAGTAACAGACATTTGACAGCATAGCATGGGGAAAAAAAATCACTCTGGTAGCTAAATACAAATTTTGTGTTCATTTGAGCACTACAGACAATTTGCCAATTTAAAGAAAAGCTGGACAGAAACAGTAATATGTGTTGGGTCCCAGCACAGGTCACCCAGTTTGTCTATATTGGGGAGATAACTTTATCAATCAGCCTATAAGAACAGTGTTGTGCCCAAAACGGATTAACAGCCTTTGCCAAAAAGCGATTGGCTGTATTTAAACTGCTAAAAATAACTTGTTGGCCTATACTGTGTGAAACATATGTCAAATGTATCCCTCATGAATGATATCAAGTTATCTTGAGCCACAAACAACATTCCTATCACATGGTAGAATCAGTTTATGGCTATTATATATCCATTTTTAACAAGTTAAAAAGTTTCATTGACAAATCAAAAATGGCTTTTTAAGAGTAATCTGGCCAAGAGGACACCAGAAACTGCAAGAAATATAAAAATAGTTATTTAAAGGTATTTTAAAGGGCCAAAAAGGACTGGAAACATGGGAAGCAAAAATGCATGGAATCACTGGAAATCACTTTTTGGCACAAAAAGTGATAATCTGTTAGGTGACCAAGGGAACACGTAGCCATATAGTGCCTATAATAATACAGCACAATAATGTTTTATTAACAGCATTTTCGCTGCTTTGATCTCACAGTAAGGACGCTGCTGACAAAAACTCATCACTTTTTGTTCTCATTCAAACCACAGCTGGGAGGGTCCGTGCTGTCAAAGGGGCCCTGGGAGCCTTCACTAACTGTGATAGAGCAGAACCACCATTTACATGCAACGACTGTAACCTGCATCTCATGCTAAGCATTGTTAGATACAAAAATAATACTAATAATAACTAATTTGTTTAAGAAAAAATGTTTACCATTAGCTCGACTTACAACACGAAAAACTGAGGCTAGGTTGTTAGCTGATACAGCCGCTTGCAAACAACCACGATTACTGTCTGGTAGGCTTTCTGGACCTGTATATTCGTCAATGATTTGACTAGCTGTGAGCAGCACAAGCTACTGGCAGCTAATTCCTAATTAAAATCAGGCCGCCGGCTGGATGTACAAGCTTTACAGGAGAAACATGCTCGCTAACTAGCTTATTCGCTACGAAAGGCAGGGGTGGACAAAATAGGACAATCTTTGCAAAAAACAAGACTCGTTACTGAACAGGTGCTGAGAACAGCAAGACAACGCCCACAACTCACTGACAACAGCACTTGACATTTGTTTATTAAATTAATACATCAGAAAAAAGGGGAGGAAACATCTTGTGTTTAATTCAAAGCGAGTCTGGGAGCACCCGGTGTCACCGCTAGCTAGCTAACGCCGACAAAGTCTGAGCACAAAGTAAAGCTCACCTCGTCGCTCCTTCTGTGCGGTTTTTAGTTACTCCATATGACACGCTGATTTACGGTCGTTTGCTTTTGTTAATGGCCAGTTTGGAGACTCACAGTGCGTTATTTTGATATCGAAATGCGAGCGGTGAGGAGGTGGACATTGGGAAGACAGGGCAAACACTAAAGAGAATGGCACTATCTCGCTTCACTCTGCAGGAAGTGACATCGACTAGGAGGAAGTACTTCCACGATCTCAAATATTATTATTCAGGATCGAGAGGCTTGTGAAGCACAAAGGAGTAAAACACAAACATGTTATGAGGGTAATCACATTAAAAAAAACACCATCAACAACAAAAAGAGGACACCGTCTATTTGGGGTATTGACAAATTTATTTGCACCAATAAGCCAAAAATCACAGGTTTAGCAGAACTATTCATCCAAATGGTATAAAAAAAATGAAATGCAGCACACAATTAACTGTTAGCTAATAAATATAAAATTGCTCATGATTCACTATAAAATATTGCTTCTAGGGTCTACAAGCTAAACTCCGTGACTTGAGGATAAGAGCAGTGACTGAGCAGAGTGGTAAGTTCAACAGGTTACAGGTTGTGAGCCTGACAGATGTTCAGAGAGTCTCTTAACATCAGGTCACGCAGACGCCACAGTGCATCCACCATGGTGGTGTGGGCTCCTTTGCTCTTCAGCCAGTGAGCTGGCAGCCGACTCTCTTGTTCTTTGGTCAGGTGAGAATCTCGCCTTTGCGCTGTTAATGGAAACGCATATTTCTCCTTAAGTGTGATTATTCAAAAGGCAAATAATGTTCAATATTGCCTTTGAAAGCAAACAAAAACAAAGATATGCACACACTCAAACAGGTAAACATGCTGGGAAATGACAATTTGGGCTTAATGCAAAAATTAAGGCAACACAGTCAACATTTTAGAAATATATTCCTATCATGTAAGGCCAGCATCATTTATGGGGAAAAAAAGGTATTGTGTAATGCTCTGAAAAGCTCCTGCTTGAATGCCTCAGAGCTAATTAGGCTGATTGGAAGGAGGTCAGCAACATGACTGGCTCTAAAATAAGCTCCCCATAGAGGTCAAATCTTTGAAAGGTGGAACAATTCATAATATCGTCAATGTAAAATGTTAAAAAAAAAAAAAAGGATTTGTGGATTTCAACATCTACAGTGCATCAGAAGCTGTCATTTAGCTATTTCCCCTAAATGTACACATGAAAGGGTTGATACTGGTAGCATATAATCATTTACAATTACTGATATGCAGAAATATCACTTATCAGTAAATAGCACTGGAGAGTAGCTGATTTTTTTTTTCTTGGTTGAAAGAACTTTATAAAAGTTATATTATAGTAAAAATATGAATAGGTTAAACACACAATACAAAATGAAAGCATTTGTATGAGATTATTTACATATTAAAAGTGTGCCATTTAAGTGTGTTGGTCAATAAGACAGGAAAAAAAAACAACTGCTCCGTTAATTAAATGTTGCCCATTTGAACCCATATGAAGGAAAGCTGGCAGCAATGTAGGACTGAAAGAAGTTACCATACTTATAATCACAACTCTTCTTATTAAGACATGACTGAGTCTGATAATTATAATTGAACTTTTCATTTAAAATATTGTTTTTACTGCGTGTCTTTCCCCACTTTCTCTCCCCTCCTGATTTCATACATGTTGACCTCTAATCAGGAACCTACCCTAAGTTACCATGGCGCTCTACCCCGGTAGGAGGAGATCCACCTTCGTTGCACTGAAAACCCAGTGTCAACCCTCAAGTTTCTCAGACAAGCCGAAATCCTGCTTTGTATTACAGGAATCTGGTCCTCTCAGTTTTCCAACCTCTTACAGAGGGGTGTTAATTATGTTGCTTTAATTTTTGTGACAATGACTTAGACATCATTTTAACATAAGAAAAAAAAACTTCAGAGCAAAATACAGTCTTTACAGTTGTTGCAATAACTCTTCAGAGCTTAAAAATACAAAAATGTTAAAAAAGAAAAAAGAAAAAAAAAACTAAGCAACTGAAAAAAAAAGCAGTGATGGAGAGTTTTCTAGAAATAAAAGTAAAAGCAAAGAACCTACCTTTGAGTGCTTGGTCCCACTTGCTAACAGTGCTGGAGTCTGAATTTAAGCCCTCTATGTACTTCAGGTAGGCCTCTGAGTGAAGCACTCTCTGAGTCTTTGGTGGTGGAGCCACAAACATGGGAGTGGTGGGCTGCAAATGTGAGGGTTGGCCTAACTGTCCTTGTCCAGGGTAGGGTGGAGGAGCATGCTGTCCTGGGCTAAACATCCCAGGCTAAGGTCACACAATAACAACATTTTGTTAGCATGTAGATGATACATAGAATGCATAATTAAAATTATCATTATGATTATCATTATTTGCAAAAACAAAATAGGCCTATATATACACTTGCTAGTAAAACTGAAGCAGGTGACGTCTGATTATGCAGGAAACAAAACAAAATCCATATTTTCTTGTACAGTTAAAAACACCAATATAAACTATATAGAAATATGAAATAACACCTATACAGCCAGGGTTTTTCTGCACTCAGGCTCACCTGCTGAATAAAGTTTCCTTGTGCAGGACTTCCCGCCATGCCATTCATACCAGTCCCCATCATCCCTGTTGTAAATGATAATATTTAGCTTGTGTGCATTTTGTAACTGTGGTAAACTCTTGTTTTTGTTCATTTTATGTTAAGCTTTATAATGGCTCATGGAAATGTTAGTTTTTTTAACTACCAGTTGAATGTTAGTGGTTTGGTATCAGTTTTGCATGCATTCCATGTGTGAATTTCATATATTTGTTCGTATATTTTAAGTGTGAAATGTGGGAGCACTTTAGAAGAGACTGCTTTGACTGCTCAGTGTGTAGATCAGGCTTTGCAGCCTGTGGACCAGGTAAACCCCCTCCAGCAGGAGAGACACGACTGGATGTGACTGAGCAGGTGCGGCTAGGACAGTGGCCCTTACCCTGATGAGGCATGCCAGGGTACCCGGGCATACCTTGCTGGAGATGGTGAGGAGGCAGGTGAGGACCCCCTGTAGGGTGAGGTGGCATTGGGGCCACACTCAGCAAACCCTCATGGGGGCCCTGCATTGGCATGTAAGGTGGACCGTAAGCTCCCATCATGCCTTTGGGAAAAGTGTGAGGAGAGGACAACATATCCATGCATAAGTGACATGCAGCTGACACCAAAATAACATGCACTACTACTGCACACAGTGGCCCCTTTCACACAAGTACCTTAAACCACAAGTGCTGTTAATTTAAAAGTTTTCGCATGTCTACAGACTTTCTACCATTCATGCAACTACATTTTTCCTCATTTGTGAGCTCTGAATGGCAAAGATGACCGTATGGGAGATAAAATTCCACCACTGTGTGAAATGTTGTTGTTAGCATGGAAATTCCTGAGATAAGATCACAGTGACCTTAGACCACTGAAATCTAGTCAGCTCTTTCTTGCACCGATTACATTTCCAAAAAAAGAAACGTTGGCCTCCAGCCCCACATGGTCATCGGCAAAGATAAATAGACACAGTTGATGGTTGATATTGAAGGTTTCGTGTGAAAGGGGAAGACAATACATATGGGTTTGAGAATGTTAGCAAAACAAGCATGAATGGCAAATGAAATATTAACAAAAGGCATTCATAGTTAAAAAATAATATTCATGCAATTCATGTCATGCAATATAAAATATGAAGGTTGATGACAAAACTACAAACAAATAGCAGCAAATAAAGAGGAAAAACTGCAATAACAACATCGTTTTGAGATAAACTTCTTTTCAAGTGTTAGAAAATTACAGGATTACTGTCTTTAATTCAGTCCAGCCTCATTTTTCCTGCTGTCAAACACTCGTGCTGTCTCTGAGAGGGGTTACCTGACACAGGTGTCATGGTCTGGTTTATCATTCCCATAGTGCTAGGCGAAGGTACCACCCCCATCAGTGCCCCTACAGGGGTACCTGCTCTTGGGGAAGCTTGCTTCTGAGGTGGCCTCTCACGCTCTTGCTGTTCCACTATTTTGGCTGCACGCTCTGAAACATCCAAAGATGTGATTTATTTATTTATTTTTGGTTTTGCTAGCACAAGTTCAAATAGATTCATATTTGTATTCATTTAATTATTTTATCTGACCTTCATACTCTGCCTTCTTGGAAGCTTCGAGGTTCCTCCACTCTGTGCCTACCAGTCGACTCAGCTCCCCGAAGGAAAAGTCTGGGTGACGAGCTTTTATCACTGCTCTCATTTCACTGCTGAAGAGGATATAACCACTCATGTTGATCTTTCTCTTGGCCCCTTCCTTCTTTGACAAGCCTTTAACCTTAGGAGTGGTCTAAATGGAAAAGCAAAGACACAAGTTTATATAAAAAACCAAAACAAAACAAAAACAACAACAACAACATTTTCAAACAAGGAACAGATGGTTTAAAAAAATTAGACCTGCGAGGGTGTGTATGGCATGACGTCCATGTCATTTGTAAGTGGGGTTTGCATCTGAGGCAAAGAAGGTGTCTCTGGAGCTTCCTCATCCTCATCCATGTCTTCCATGTCATCATCTGCATCCTCCATATCTGCCAGTTTAACCTCAAGCTCATCTATCTTCTTGTCCAAAATTGGTGATGCTTCCTTCTGTGGCACTATTAATTTTCTACGTGGAATAAAATAAGCAGACATCATAGCACCTCAGTGCTAATTGTTAAATTTAAATCAGAATCATAGAGAGCATAAAAGACAGCTGTGGCTTCAGGTCTAAAAAGAGAAGCCCATGTGCCTCAAAGCTAACGTTCTACTCAATTCCCAGCAGGGGGCAACTTCACCGGTGCAGTTTCACTTCATCCTGAGTAAAACATAAAGTCCATTATGATCGTTATTCATGTCAGAAACAAGAATCAGCCAATCAGATCAGATCCACCCCTCACTCATCAGCTCCAGTTTTACAGGAACAGCTTTACTGAATGGGGCAAAATAGAGTAAGTTCAATCCCCACACAGTGCTCAGAGGTTTGGTTAGTTTTAAGGTTGATCCAAAAGATTGGACTGTTTTCTAAATACAGGTGTAGTCAGTTATGGTAAATGGCCTGTATTTGTACAGTGCTTTTACTTTTACGCAGTTAATTTCAATATCAAGCACAAAAAAAAGCTTATTGGCAACTTCCTGTTGGCTACA